GGCCCTCAAAAGAAATTTAAATCGTTGTACTGTTGATATTTGGCTCTGTTGACTAATGAGTTTGCCGACCACTGACCTAGTCCAAGCCATGGTCATCACCTACCAGGATTTCTGCAACTGCCTCCTAACCAGCCTCCCGTCCTCTGCCCCTGCCTCTCTATAGTCTGTTCTTCAGATAACAGAGGGATGCTTCTAAAACCTGGTCAATCATATCACACCTCCACTTACAAAGCTAATGGCTTTCTGCCTCACTGGGAGGAAAACCCAAAGCCCTCACAATGGCCTCCAAGACCCTGAATAATTGTCCCCACGGGCCCTCACCCCCCATCAGTGGACTCACTTTCTCCCTCTCACGTTGCTTTTGCTAAGTTGCCTTCTTGCTGTTCCTCAAATACATGAGGCATGCTCCCACCTAAAGGCCTGGGCACTCGCTGTTCCTTCTGCCTAGAATGCTCTTCCCACACAGTTTCAATCTACATTTCATAGACCGTAGGGTTCGTGCTCTCTCACTTCTGGGATTTCTGGTCAAATGCCATTGTATTAAGAGGGGCCTCTCTTGTTGCATCACATTAAATAGTAAACCAGACCCTTAATACATACATTTCTCTGCTTTGTTGAGCTCCATGGTGTTTATCACCATTTAATATACTACATATTTACTTGCTTACTGGTTTATTGTCTCTCCTCTAGAGTACAAGTTTCATGAGAACTACAGGCCTTCTCTCAAAGATGCCCATGTCTGGCTTGGATTCCTATGGCAACCAAAGCTGCCACCTCCGGCTTGGTGCCTACATCAATAAGTGTCTTTATAGCTGTATCACTGCTGAGAGAGATGTTGGAAAGATCGTCACCATCAATCAGTTAACACTGGTCGCTTCTGAGAGTTGGTGTTCTGGATCATGCTTTAACTTTCTTTGTACTTTTCCATGCCTTAGAGTGGCTTAAATATCTGTTTTGTACATGACACTACTCAAAAGGAGGGGGGAAACCTCAACTTTCTTTTTTTTAATTTTTTTTATGGATTTCAGAGAGGAAGATGGAGAGAGATAGAAACATCAATGATGAGAGAGAATCATTGACCGGCTGCCTCCTGCACGCCCCCCACTGGGGATCGAGCCCACAACCCCGGCATTTACCCTTGACTGGAATCAAACCCAGGACCCTTCAGTCCTCAGGCCGATACTTTATCCACTGAGTCAAACCAGCCAGGGCCCTTAACTTTCTTAATAGCCAAAGGCCAACTTGCTAAACAGAGACTAAGTTCACACAAAGAAAAACAAAAGAAACTTAAATGTGGGAAGAAAGACTAAGAGAGGGTAACAACGTTTGGCGCCTTACTCACATGAAACGTTCTTCAGGCAGAGAGCATGTAAATTGCTAAAACACTCCGATGCTGGAAAAGTGACAGAGAAGTCAAGGGAGGATCTAGAAAGACAGCAGCCGGTTCATGGTGCTGGTGCTGGCGGCGAAACAGGCAGTGGCTGGCAATGGCCGAGGCACCTTATGGGGTGATGGGAATGTTCGGAAACTTAGCTGTGGATAGTTATAACTCAGTAAATTTACTAAAAGTATTGGATAGCACATTTTATTTTATTTTTTTGTTTTTTTTAATATATTTTATTGATTTTTTACAGAGAAGAAGGGAGAGGGATAGAAAGTCAGAAACATCGATGAGAGAGATCGATCAGCTGCCTCCTGCACGCCCCCCAGTAGGGACGTGCCTGCAACCAAGGTACATGCCCTTGACCGGAATCGAACCCGGGACCCTTGAGTCCGCAGGCCGACGCTTTGTCCACTGAGCCAAACCGGTTCAGCGGATAGCACATTTTAAATGGGTAAATTTTATGATAAGTTATACTTCAATAAAGCTGTGGTTTTTTTTCTTAAGTCAAGCGAGATACTTACGAGTGTCCCGACTAACGAGTTTTTTGATACCAGCTGTCTCTCTGCCAATTTTTTGCATTGAGTTGATAGAGTAGTTTGAGTTAACGAGCTCTTTAACGAGCTCAGCCTTGGAACGAATTAAACTCGTAAGTCAGGCCCCACTGTATATGGATAAGACTCCAAGATCATGTATTATTTCTGAACTAAAAGGAGCCCCATCCCCACTCCAAATCAGTTAGTACGAATGAAGTCTCGGGGGCGGGGAGCTCACTGCCAGGAATCAAGGCCAGAAAGACAAGGGCTTTGAAGAAGATGAGATTAAGGGAAAAAGAGAAACATCAGCCACGCTCAGGATGTGCTGGCTTATTGACTGTGCTGCCAGCAGGTCCAACAAACTGGGTTCCACCCAAAGCAAGAAACTTCTAGGGCAGGAAACAGAACCAGTGCAGGCGGGGCATGGGAGGCATCGGAAGA